GAGCTTTTTCAAGCCTCTATACCAACCTTTTAAACTTATTTGATTAACGGAATAAAATGAGTCGGACTTTGACTATGACAATGGATCGTACTGTTTTTTCATAAACGACTTCAATTAGGATTTGAAAAAAAAAAATACTTGGCCTGGTCGACTTTTTTAGGCCTAGCTTGGCTTGGACCTAATAGGATTGAGCTTCGGACTGAGCTTTTTATATATGTTAGCGTTAACTGACAGATGTTTAGGCCCTATCATCGTACTTCATATTTTGAAAATTATAGTATCTTATTTGATGTATAATTTAGGAGCAATATTTATTTATTTTCAAATATTTAGAAGACATTTTATATATGTAATTCTTATGGTGAACAATTGTTACATGAAAGCTTTTTAAAGAAGATTAAATATTATAGTTTCCATATGATAAAAGAAATTTGATACGTCTTTTAATTTGGATTCAACCTTAAGAAAAACATGATGTTACTATGGAACATAATTTAAATATGTAACAATGTAACAAGGTTTCCTTATTAAGTATTACATATGTTATATATACAGAGAGGCATGAGGATCAAAAGAGAACGAGATGAAAAAAGAATACACGAAAATGATCAAATCACATGTGATTTCGTACTAAAATCCCATACGGTTAGGAAACACGGTCAACATAAGGGTGAGAGGGCGACTTGGCTTGCGACCTCAGGTTGCAGTCAAATCATGTGAATCACATGTGATTTACACTTGATTTTAATGTAAAATCACATGTGATTCACCTGTTTTTTGTTCTCTTATTTGGTTGTTGTTTTCATATGAATTCATCTCTCTTTATACACACACACACACATATATGGGGGGAAAGGTTCAAATAAAAAAAACAAAATTGTTGAAAATGTAATGATAACTAATTCATATGTGAGTTATTGGTAAACTCATAGAAGTCTATTTGAAGATGCATATGTGAACACACATTTATTTATCTACCATTTTACCAATTATTCACATACAAATATATATATATATATATATATGTGTGTGTGTGTGTGTGTGGTGTGTGTGTAAACCTACGTTTTCTTATCAATGATTCACATATGAAAGTTGTTCTTGTTGAACTTAGGAGGCTTGGCAATAGTGTCATTGTCATGGTAAGAAGAAGGACTGGAATGAAAAAAGAATAGGCCATTGCAGAACTAGCTTATGAGATTAAGCTAACTGCTCTGATACCACTTGTTGGTCCTGAATGTGATGGCAATAAACATAAAGTAATTGTAGAATGGGGGAGAGGTGAATACAATTACATAGACTTTTTTTTTAACTTTTTAATTCTTATTGATGTATATCAAGAATTAACACACGAAGATACAATAAAAATTGTTCGAAAGAAAGGAAAGGATAACCTAACCTAAACAATCTTACAAAGAGAAGAACTTATAAGAACAATGCAGAGAGTACTTGCAAGGAAATGAAGAACACACTAAGTTTTTCTTCACACACAGGAGAGTAGGGGAGTAGAAGAGGAGAGCCAATTGCTTGAGAATACACTTAGAAATATTTCAAAGGAAGTTTGTAGTTTGCATGGGAGATGCATACTGACTTTTATACTACCTTCAGTATTAAATGAATGAGGGCACTTGTCACCCGAGGATAAGAAGACATGGGTTGACTTGATTATTGTTGATATCACATGTTCATCGTACACAACGTGCATACAATACTATTTATGCAGAGACAAACTTTTGGATAGATATGATCAGTCTGCAGGAAGATCTTCTTTAGATGGATTAGTAGCTTCAAACAACTACTCACTAATCTTCGGTGCATAAACATCTTCCTTACAAATCTTCGGTGCATGAAGATCTTCCTTCAATCGGCTTGTAGCTTCAAAATATTTTCAATCTTCATATCAGCTATTCTGGAGTCTTGGTGTGTAAATTAGACAGTTGATCCACAGTACCGCATCGGTGACCTTATGTCTTAACATCGGCTAGTCTTCGATTTTGCCAATGACTTTAAGTATGTACGAAGACACCAATATACAAAACCAATAACTATTAAGTGTTGATAGGATAGAGGAACAAATCAGTGGGTCATCACCAAATCAATAGATGACCCAACATACTTTTTGATACCATCGATTTAATATTATTTTTAAGTCCTTAATTAATATATGTGTTAGCCTTAACAGAATGTCTCATGCAAATATATTTTAATATCTCTTATGTAATTGTTAGCTTTTATTTGTGTGTTGACATTTTTATTTACTTTGTTTAAACATAATTGCTTAGATTGATTGTAAAATGATGTACCAAAATTTTAACTCGACCAATTCGTTTCCCAACCCAACGTATACGGTTTGGGTTGAGTTGCTTTTTACTTTTATTTGGGTTGAATTGTGTTGGTTGATATTTTCTAAACTGCAAACATTTGATTGGATTGTTCTAATGCTTTTACTCTTTTAGATCTGAAGAATTGAGATAGTCTTCAGATGTTGAAATCGTGTTTGCCTAAAGAACTTTTACTATGTAATTTCTATTAAAACGGGTGAGTTGCAAATTTTTGACAAGGATGGCCTTTCTATAGCCATCATTGCATAAATGTTGCTATAAAACTTTACTGTGTGTCTTCATCTAATTTGATGATCAGTGCATGTTTGTACCCTTCATTTAAGCATTTGTGTATCTTGACTATATGATGTAGACGTTTGTTAACACAATTCATTATTCTACACGCGGAGGAAACAATAAAGAAAGTATGGTACTAATGAAATAGTACGTTTAAACTTATTTTGTCTGGCATGCCAAGCATATCCAGGACAAGAGTTGGTAGAGTGGAGAGCAAAACTTTCTAGTTAAGTTTCACTAAAAAAATAGACTCGACAAAAATAATATTTGTCAGATTAATTTTGACTTTATCGTGTACTAATATCCTATCGGCTAGATGACAATCCAATTTGCTTTGCTGACTATCTTGGCTTCATTTCAACTAGTCTTCAATTTTGTTGAAAACTTTTTGCTCTTGAACCAATATAGATAATAACAGTACTTTCTCAAATATAATCCTATTATATTTTTCTCTACAAAATATAAGTTATATTTTTCTCTACAAAATATAAGTTATATTTGGATTTCAGCATACTTGATTTGTGAAGTACGGGAAATATGAAAGAATTATTCCTTTCATATTTCAAATTCTCAAATCTGGATGAAGGATTCGGAAGACAGATCCGGATAGCAAACCCAGATGATAAATCTGGTTGGCAAATTCAGATGATGAATATGGATTATAAATGCAGATTAATAAATCTATATTTCAATTCCGGTTAATGAATACAGATGATAAGATCAGGATGAAGAATGATTCAGATATAAGACTTCAGTTTGAATTTCTAAGTGTTTGATTGAATGATTTGTGTTATTATCAAATGGTTGAGACCACTATATACTTAATCGAGTTGTAAAAATTTTAAACTGTAAATATTGGATTAAATTTGAGTTAGGGCCATTATGTCTTTCTATATCATTGATTTAATATGACTGCTAAGTCTTTTAACTCATATATGTACATTAGACATCAGACCAACCCCTATTTAGCTCTTTTCATAATTATGTCACAATTTCGACCATAATTTATTTGCACGAACCTTCAACTTTTTTCTTTGAGTTTGTTAGCCTTATTTTTATGTTCTCATCTTGATTAATTTCGCTTAAACACGACCATATAGCTAGACTAGAAAATGATGTATCAAATTTTCAATCAAACCAACCCAACCGAACCGGCAGGGTTTGGATTGAGTTGTGATTTTTCAAATCGCAAACATTGAATTAAGTTGAGTTATTCAAATGCTTTAAACCCGATCAACATAATCCATATGAAGCCCTAATCAAAACCAAATATACCTTTAAAACATTATGTCAAACCAAACAGACCAGATTCCTCAAACTCCCTAGTGAAGAACCTCTTCATTTTATAGTTGAGATATATTATCTTTAAGATATTAATATAATAATTGTTTATTTAAAGTATTTTTTATGTATATAAAATTAAATTTGATCAATATCTTGTAATAATTAATTCTAATATGCAAATATCTTTTAATAACATATCAAAATGTATCCTATACCTCATATATTCATACATTCAACATTGTTATGTATGGTGTGATGTTGAGTCATAATTCTAACATGCAACTCTTACACCTCCTAAATAATCAATTGTAAGTTGTTTTAAAGAAGCCTCAAAACATTTATGTAGTTTTCGTGTTAGTCAAACGATAATAATCCACACATACGTTATGAACGATCGATAATCCCCCAAATAGTGGCGTATCAAAAAGGTATACGCATACCATATACATATATCAGTAGCGAAATTTTATTAGAGTCTCATATCAGCTAAACTTAAATCATATATTTCATTAGTATATGTCGAAACCAGGGTTTTTTTAGGAATTAATCTAATAGAGTTTCACGTATTTACCGAGTTCTGTTATTATAGAATTAGTGAATCATTATCAAGTTAAAGCACGAAACTGAGTTGAGTAAAACCGAACTGAAGCAAACCAAAGTTAATTGATGTGATACGATTTGTTAAGGCAAGTTTTGCAATTGGGTATGGTTCAAAAAAATTAAACCCGTTGGTTTTGGTCGATGAGACCAAAACCCAAAACAAACCGAACAGAACCGAACCAGATCAATTTGATCCGGTTCAGTTTGGGGGACATAAAAATTGATTTGGGTTTTAAAAAATTGAAAATTTTGAATGTGGTTAAAGATGATGCAGCTAGTATAGTGAGTTAAAAACCAAGCATTTAGAGCTCTTACAACCAATCACATAATTTATGTGAGTTCTTTGTAATGCAATAAGTTATGAGAGAGATAAATGAGGGATGTTGAAATGTACGATTGATACTGAACCCCATGCACAAATCATCATCATCATCATCTTCTTCTTCACCAGATTTGAGAGCTGATTGCAGTCAATTTAATGCGTTAAATATGAGAGAGAAGTTAAAAGAAAAGCTAAAAATGGAGGCTAACGAAATCAAGGAGAAGGTGACAGAAGGTAGCTCTGCATGTCTAACACGTCTTCCTGATTCTTCTACTGGTATCATCGTCATCACATCTCTTTTCTCTCTCTCAGAGCATTAAATTTCTTTTGATTTTGAGCGATTCATGATATCTGCGTGTGGTGATTAGAATGAATTTGTTGAATTTTGAAGAAATCGGAAGCAAAATGATGTAATGAGATCGATGATTGATTTTGAATTTTGGAGAATTCGAACAGAAAATCAAACGATGACATAATCAACATTCAGATGGATCTGGGAGAGTTAATTAGGGATTATGATCACAAGGATTGAAATTTAAACAAAATTACTTGCTAAAACGAGACTCAGATTCCTAAAAGTTTTGAGAATTGAAAAGGCGATGAAATGAATTTCCTGATCCTACGAAAAAAGTTGTTTATTTTATATTTTATTTTTGAAAAATTAGGGTTTCTTACCGATGGTGTGCTTGTTATTGTGCATCCAGACCTTGAGAACATGGCGTTTGACGCCGGTCTCCGCGCAGAATTGTTGTACGGCGGCCTCATCTTGTTTCTGGATCCGCCACCCTAACGTCTCCGAGAACGCCAGCATCCGGTCCTTCTGATCCTGTGTGAATTTCGTGCGGAATCGTTTTCTGGAACCGCTTCCACCACCGACACCGCCTCCGCCACCGCCTCCACTTGAGCTAGGGTTTGAGATCTCTTCCAGATCTTCTCGGGATGTAGAAGGCAGAGCTAGCGGACGTTGGTGGTGAGACGACGGAGCCGGCGTCATGTGCAAGTATCCGGTCGGTCGTTGGTGGTGGTGGTGGTAGTACGGCGTTGCTGTCAAATATTGATGCTGTTGTTGCTGCTGCTGATGTCGTTGTTGGCCTTCAAGCTCCTTACGATGGAAGTTCCGGTGACAATTACAGGCGGCGCATTTAAGCGCATCCAAGGTACCTTCATCTCCGGCCGCCATAAACTCACCACATCCATCCACCGCATGACCACCAATGCCTACAGCATGATTCTTCAAACACTCCCTATACCTATACCCACCACCGCCACCGCTCTTCCTCACTTCCCTCCCCCTCCCGGAATTCCCAATCGCATCATAATTTCCCGGCGGCAGCTGAATCCCAACCTCCTCTTCTTGCTCCTCGTGTTCATCGAACTCCATATTTTCTCTGATCTTTTCTCGATTAACTCCACCAGATTCTTGTAAAATTACACCAGGAATAGAGTAGCAGAAGCAGGTCAGTGTCAGTAATCGTAGATGTATGAATACACCGATAGATTAAGAACAAAATAACAAGTTGAAAGAAACAATGGTGGGTGAGGTGAGGTTGATCAGAGGATAAGTGAAAGAAGAGGGTGTGGACATCAATTAACCCCTCGCCTGCAGAAAAATAAAGCAAAAGTGTGTGTGTTTTTAGTGTGTGTGTGAGAGAGAGAGAGAGAGAGAGTTGTCTTGTTATGAGCAAAAATATTTCAGGTATGTTCCGGTTAATGGAGGAAAAGGGTGACCGGCGATTGCCGGTAATAATCTGCTCCCCAAGGCTAGGGCATCACATTGTCGACCTTAATATTGCCAGTTCCCACTAGTCATTCAACCCCGTTTAACATTAATCACAAACAGACAAATTACTATCAACTTTTATCTTCCTTTTTTTAAGTTCAAAAATTTAACGTAGTATTACATCCGAGAGTTGGGTTAAACGACAAATAAAAATTATAGTGAGAAATGTAAGAAGAAATTTATATGTTTGGATTAATCTTAATTGAATGTCAATATTAATAAGATGTATTAGATTAGTTTTTTTTTTAGAGTGCAATTCATAGGTAGAAATGAGATTTAAAATAAATAAGAGTTTAAATTTCTTCATACACTTCTTACCATAATCTTTCTTGTGTACATGAAAACTAAACTATGAAGAAATTATGATTAGGAGTACTCATGGATTGTGTTGATCAGGTTGAAGATATTTAAACAACTCAACTCAATGTTTGTGGTCTAGAAAAATCTTAACCCAACCCAACCCAAACCAAAGTGCAACCCAACTCAACCCAACCCGTACGGGTTGATACTTTGGTATATTAAAATATTCTTCTAACTTTGAATATGTTATTTATCTACTCATAATTTCTTTTTCATCATCAATCATTTGATACAACTTATCCATATTTCTTACGTATATCATATTCAGTTAATTTTCTCAATTTACATATGTATGTTCACAGTTATTGAACATATATATGAATAGATTGAACATATATATGAATAGATTGAAAATATGTGTATATGAAAAGCATACATGATAGTGTAATTGTCTAATGTATATATATATATATATATATATTAATAGAAATTCAACAATCATATCAAATCCAATAAATAAAAGGATATCGGGTTCATCGGGTTGGGTTGTGTTCAAATAATAGTAATCCAATATCAACCCAATACCTATGGTTTGACAATTTTACAACTCGATTAGACATCAGGTTGCTTCRCGTTGAGTTATTTCGCGTTGGGTTGATCGGGTTGGTCAGGTTTTTGAGCATCCCTAATTATGATTGTGTCTATTTGATCTTGTATAAATATCCTTACAAAGTTGAGATGTATATTCATTTATAAAGAAAAATGTTTTTTTTTTCTTTATTGGTGTTTTATTTGTACAATTAAGATGTTAAAATAAACATAATAAACTAAAATTACACGTACACTCGAGACTGTATTTTCTATTGTCTTTGTCTATGAGCTCATATGATCAAAGTATGTTTATTCACAACATTGTTATCAAACAACCTCAATGATTGATCGAATAAATACATAAAAATAGAGTTACATGTACATCAGAAATCGTACATTTTACTGTACTTTGTTTATAACATTAATTACGATCAATGTCTGTTAATTGTCATTCAAAACATTATTTAATCAGCAAACAATCTCAATAACTTGCCAACAATTGTCCTTGTGTATGTAGTGCTTCTTTTGTAATTTCCTAGGCTTGTGTTTTTCAAAAATGAAATTTAAGGTTGTTATTTTGTTCAATCTATATTATATTATAAAACATTTGATAATAACTCTTAAAAACTATTTTTTATACGTAAAGTACTGCTTATTAATGTATATTACTTAAAACTCAAGATTGCAAGTAAATTGTGTATAAGTACAATTTATTAAAGCTCCGTATTTGAATTCGTGTAACTAACTGCAGATAAACATAATCAAATAGAAGATAAACATCTCATTTTAAATATAAAAAAATAAAAATATAATTAGGATAGTAATTGAGTTTTAACATAATACTTAATTATTATCTTTATAAAATTATTAAACCAAAAATAAATTATTTCGTTATCAAACATAAATTAAATTACAGTAAAAAAATAAATTAAAAAAATTACATAAAAAATGAGAACTTTCAAATAGTTGATTTGATATTAACATTGATATATTTTATTCTTCAATTTTTTATCATATCTTCAAATTTATATTTTATTCAAAAATAAAATCATTATTGTTTTTTTAAAAACACATAAAATCGTATTATAACATCGACAAAGACAAATAATAAAATAGAACATTAAAATGGAGATATGTTACGCTGCATTACACGGGTACCTTTCTAGTTATTACTAACGTAACAGTAAAAATATGAAAATTGAGGTTGTTGTACCGACGACCACTATGAATACTTTTATTTCACACTAATAAATTACTTTAAAGAATCCTAAGTATATATAAAAATAACAATGCATTTTATATAAAAATATTACATTAAATTGTTAGCATAAAATTAAACAATATAATAAATATACTTCTTTAGTCCCAAAATAATTATAATATTTTTATTTTTATTTGTTTTAAAATAAAAATCCATTTTTAAAAATAAATACTTCCTACATCCCAAAATAAGTATCTATATTTTTATTTTTATTTGTCTCAAAATACGTAAACTTTCAAAAATAAATAATAAAATTCTCAAAAAATTACCCTTAATTAATGCATAAATATTTATGATTTGTGAAGAAGGAGAAATAAAATAAGGTATTTTCTTTTCTATTTTACCTTAATTATAAGATAAAGAAAATTTATCTCTCCATTTATTATTAAATGGTAAAATAGTTTTTTATTAATTAAAAAATGTAATAATTATATCTTCTTAAAATTATATGTTATTTTTGTTGTGAACATTTATTTTAAAACCGAGAGATGTCATATGTAGGGAAATTGGCCAAAATAGTCATTTCTCTCCCCTCAAGTGATCTCTTAATCATTCATCTCCCTGATTTACGAACGTATCACTGCCTATGCGACTTGCAGATCTGAGAAAAAGACAAAAAAACAAATTACATTTTTAACATAGGTACGCAAGATCCACCTACACAAAACCTATCTACATTTTTTTGTCTTCTAGCCAGGTACGCAAGTTGCGTAGATGGATCTTGCGTATCTGCGTTAGAAATATAATTTTTTTTTTGTCTTCTTCTCAGGTCTACAAGTTACGTAGATATTGACATTTTCGTAAATCTGAAAGATGTATGATTAAAAGATCAATTTATGAGAGAGAAATAACTATTTTAACCGATTTTAACGAACGGTGTTATGATATTGCTTTTAGAAAAGGTAAAAGCAGGAATAGTCTGAAATAAATTTTCAGTCAGCATGAGAATGGAAATGTGAGGTGACGTGTCAAAGTCAATTACTGTTCAGGTGACGTCAGAATGGTAAGCAAAAACCTGCTTCTTCAATTTCACACCTAAACTCTTGTTCTACTCAACTAATTAATTCTAGACTAAATTTCGAATATGGTTCCTTCATGTTTTCGATTTGTTACAGGTTTAGTCCTTTATCTTTGTCTATTACATAATAATGACCCTTCACCGATACAATTTGTTTTAGATTTTGTTACGAAAGGCAACAAATTTTATTAAGAAGCAAACCGACAACGCGACACAACACAAACGAACAAACACTTTCTACAAGAGGCAGAAAGAAACACAAAAACAAGGGTCGTCGTAACAAAAAGAGACCAAACCAATGAAAGACCGAGACAACTAACCATGAGCGGTCTTCTAAACGGGATCTCGGGTTGCAGCACCAGTCTGCCCATGAAGAAATATAGTGTCTTAAAACGATGAATTAACCAATGAAATGATAAGAGTTGAATGTCGAGGAACAAATCTGATTGAGGAATAACCTGATTCGAGAATAATACTTTATTACAGAAAGTCCAGATCATGTACATAGAAGTCCAAAGTACTGCTTGTACACACTTTTTGCAAAGAAGAGAGGAAGATGATCTCTGAGAGAAAAAATTTGAACGTTGTGTAAACTGTAGCAACAATAGTGGAAGCTCAAGATGATGCATGAAGAACCACATCACCAAACTAAGATAATAGATGTTCCCCCATAAAACAATAAAATTAATATCAAGTGGGATCGATGACCCACATATCAAATATTAAACTGATAAAAACAAATACTATACTTTACCATAACATTCTATAATATTTGAATTATAAATTAGAGAGGTGCATTAAGCCTTGATAGTAGTAACATCAAGACGACGGATAAATAACTACATCACCAAGTAGTATAATGGACATTCTCATATAAAAAAATAAAATACCAAGTAAGCTGAAGAATCATATATTAGATATCAAATTGAAAACATATAATATACTTGACCTAAACAAAAAATATAAGACTCATAAAAGATATATAAACTAAAAACATGTACTATATTTGATCTTAAGCAAAAGGCCGAGATCCGAGAAAAATATGTTTGTTTCATTTTTAGCCATTTCTTTTTGTAACAATCTCTTTCTTGCCACTTTCATTCCATCATCCAATGCAGGATACAAGCAATATCGAGAAAAAAATTGGTCATTTTCTTTTTGTATTCACCTCCCACCTTCTTCCTTCATTTTTTGATCCAATGTGGGATGCAAACAAAAATGTGAGGAAAAAATGATTTATAATGCTTAGAAGTTGTCCCCAAATTATCCATGGTTATTGCTTTTACATGGATAAAGATGAATATATAAAAATATAGATTATAGATATATAAATATTGTTTTTACAACTATAACTTCTACCAATTTTACGGTGTTGATCTATTGTCAACTTTCTGTTATTTTTTATATTAGTTTTTGGTATGTTTTTTTTTTTATAAAATATATATAGTAAATTCATATCGTTATCTTTCGTTGTTATTTTAAAAACAACTAATATAAAAGTATTTTTAAAATGAATAGAATTTTTGTAAAAATAGAGTATGCCAAATCATGAGGTTGGCTCACCCTTTTTTCGCAAAAAGAGGGTGAGCCAACCTCATGATTTGGCATAGAAGTACTCACTCTCCTTTCATATATTGACTCCCTACTTCCAATTTTACATATGCTCGTTAATATGGGATGATGAAAATCAATCATTTTCA